TCTGACGCTCGCTCGACATATTTCGTTTTAGGGTTCAAGTGTTTCGCTCTGTGCCCAGACGTTGGACACACTCCTCCAAGTCCGAGCCGTAGTCGGAGCTGAGCTCTACACTACGCTGGTGCTGGCATGTAAAAGTGCGATTATAGTCGCATAATTATCACGCTGACATACACACACACACATACAGGCTAGAAAAGCAAACGGGAGAGACAGAGAGAGAGACGTACTTGGAAGCCGGGCGGGTGCTTAGAGAAAATGCCAAAATGTAATTACCCAGCAAACAAACCGCAATTTCTCGGCACACATACTCACACACACACACACAGAGCGAGAGAGCGAGAGAGAGTGAGAGCCATCTGGAAGTGAAAGTGGACACGCAACAAGCTAAACTGGGAACGTAGCCAAATGCCATCACCTGAAGCCACCTGCTCTAACGTCTGGCGCTTAGGGGTTACTTGAATGGGAAAGGTTTGCGTGTTTGACATGCGGCTTGGTTAAAGTTGGGTCCTTGTCGCTTGGGGTCGACCGTTTCGAAGGCGATATCGTTAATGTTGCCGTTGATTGCGCGCCCAACACACACAAACACACACACACACACACACACACACACAAGATTCGCTTTGAGCTAGGCAACTGGCTCTGGTTTTAGTTTAGTTTTAGGCTGTAAACTTTGTTATTTATTTGGCAATTGGCAGTCGTTTGGCGCCAGAACCTTTCAAACAACCCAGACAAATGCAATTTTCGCTTGCCTGCTAAGCGTTTATTGGGATTTTAAACATCAACATGGCTAACAACATAATTCCAGCATAAACAAAAACAGCAGACACCAGCAGCAAGAGCAACAACAACAATAACAACAACAACAACAGCTGCTGCTGCTGTTGACCCACAGTGACAATGAATGCCAGCTGGCAGCTGCAGCGAATGGAGCCCAGGACTCGGGGAAACATGCTAATTTGGGCGTAATAATTATGTGATGCGGCTTGCCGTGCATATAGAATGGGCTCATAATGATTGCAAGCTCCACATTATAATCATGCCTGTGACCAGAGTGTGTGTGTGTGTGTGTGTGTGTGTGCTTAAAGGTGATTATCGCCTGCTGCAAGCCCTACGTAAAGGAACTTCCAATTTGGTCGATATATTATAATTATAAATAATAATCGCGTTGCTTTAAAATGAATTTCTCGGGCGTGCAGATTATATCAATTGAAAAGCTTTATTTATAATTATATAATAATAATAATTAAATTTGGTGTCATTTAAGGGTTTTCTTGGCATTGATTTTAAATATAATATGGGGCAAAGTTAAATTAAAAAAATGAATTCAATTAATAAGTTTTCTTTATGGGAATTTTAGATCTCTTGAGAAAATACTAGAGCTCACAAAAAAAAAAAAGAAACGATAAAATGTCTGCCTTACCGAATATTAAAATTGGGCTCGAATTTGGTGAGCAGAGCTATCTCTGTCCGTTAGTCTAGAATATCTTGTATTTAAACGCGATCGCCTGCCATATTTATGATCTGTAAGTTTTATACAATTTTCAAATCAAGCATGCATTTTTCAAAGTGTGTGGGTAAGGCTATTTCTTATAGCGAATGCTGTGTGTTTATCCGTATAAATGAATGTATAGGGAAGAGCATAAATATATATATATATTTTTTTTTAATATTTGGTTTCCTTTATTTAAATTTTACTGTTATTATTGAAATAACTTTAAATAAACTGAATATAAATAAATTTTCAATGCAGCACGGCTTGAGCTCAGGGTATCTCCTAGTCGGTCAATGCCGACTAGAACACTCTTATTTTTACCCATTTGTATATCTTATTTTTTGGAAAAAGTCGTTATTAATAACATGCTTACTTGACAGGCCCTTCTAGGTCCTTTCTATTCACACAAGTCCATGCATTTTGTTTGCGTTGAACATTTCTAGGCACAACAGAGTCTTTTTTGCTTGTTATTTGAAATTTTCGCGCCTGTGCCTTCGCATTGCATTGCATCGCATCGCATCGCATCGCATCGCGTAGCATGCAGTTATTTTGGTTGCCCCGTTGGTTTTATTGGCTGCATCAGTGGCACGGACCGTGCCACTGGCTAGCCATTACCAGGCTCGAGTGTCACGGCTGCTATTTATGCAGTTGCCGTCGACTGCGTCGAGAGTCCATAACCGGGCATCCAGAATCTGCCCGGAGCGATGTCATTACCAGTCACATTGGCGGCCCATTGGCACGGCCTGTGCCGCATGGCAGTTCCCGTTTTGGTTCTGGCAGCGTAGTCAACGCCAGCTTTGGCTTCATTCCGATTGTTAACAATTTTGCGGTGCATGGCCGTTGTCCTTTATGATGTGTGGCCTGTACGGGTGACGGTTTGGGGGGCAGCTGTTGCTGTTGCTGACGGGCTGACTGCGTGTGTGAATGTGTGTGCTTTTGTGTTGCGTGTGCTATCATTAAGTGTCGAAAATTTCATCAAACACTTCAAAGCGGTACCACGTGCTGTTGCTGCTGCTCGCAAACCCTGCTCCATTCCGTTTGCCCATGCCACGCCCCAGTTTCAGTTTATGATTCTATTATTTTCACAGCAAATAAAAGAGAAACTGCGTATCATGGCCAAGTGCTAAATGGGCGCCAGGGAAAATTGCGAAAATTTTCTTTCTTGTTTTTGTTGCTGTTTTTTTGTGTTTTTTTTTTCATTTCTTATTTTTCCCTTGCTTTGCCAGAGCAGCCAAATTTAAACGCGCAAGGTGTAGAGTGTACGGGCGGCTGTGGGGCGTGGCAGCTGAGCACGTAAAAAGCGTTGAACAGTAACGTTGTGGGCAACAGCTGCAGGGTGCAAGTGTGTGTGTGGTGTGTTTGGTGTATGTGTGTGTGTTGATGTGTTGGTGGTGTGCGTAAGGCCAAGGAAAACGAATTTTCAAGCGCACGAAAACTTTGCGCCATGAATCAAAGTTTAGTGTAGCATACTTTTTAGGTGCGATTTATATATTTCAAAATAAAATAAATGAAGGGCGTTCTCGTTTGGTGCCTCTGCTGCAGCTTCTCCTGCTGCTGCTGCTGCCAGCCAGCCAGCCAGCAAGCCCAAAAGACAAAGCAGCTATGTGGTGATTGAGTTGGGGTTGGAGCTGGCTTTTTCCTGGCTAAATTGCTACATTAGTGGGGAGGGGGGGAGCCGGGTGCTGCTGCTGGAGGCTGCGAGTTTGATTTAACTTTGGGTCTTTGGTGCAAATTCAAATTCTCTGTTTTATTTCAGCGCGCAGGAAATGCAAAAATTTACACTTGGTTAGCTGATTGATGAATGCATAAATGAAGCGTACACATGCGTTTTAAACAGGGGCGGGGGCTCTGGATTCGATTGCTGACTGCAAGTTGAGCAATTTGCCAAAATGTCGTAGTACCAGCAGCAGCAGGTGGAATACTCACATGTGTGTGTGTGTGTGTGTGTGTGTTATCCACGCAGACTCCATTCTGATTTCACCCAAAATCGCTTACGTCACAATCCATTGGGTTTCTTATTGTTATGCACGAAATATGCAAATGTGATTTTTAACTTGAAAACGTTGCTCACATTTGGTTGCGGGATTTTCTCTTATTTTCATATTCAGTTTTTTTTCTTTATTTTATTTTTTTTTTTTTCTGGCTTTAGCTGGTTTAACAAATTAACGTTATTTATTTGACAATGATTGGGGACCTGGCTAATGCGTCGTATGAGTAATGCGAGAGCTTTGCCCTTTCAATGGCTGCGGCTTAATTAGATATAGGGTGAGCTTCAGGCCCAGAATATGATTTGTAAACATAATTTGGTTAGCGAGCCATGAACATAAAGTCAAATTTATTGCGACTGAGATTTCCAGTTGAATATGCGCTAGAAAAATGGCCAACGATGAGGAGCAGGACGACAGTGAATTGCTGCATAATCTGCGCGGGTTATATCCTGTCCTTGCCAGACAACGAAATATTCCCAAAAAATGAGGCAAAATTACTTTTAATATGCGTGGCCAGCGTACGCAAGGGCAGAAGCCATTCACCGAACTCTTGGCTGTCTTCGGCCCAGGGACTGACATTCAGAGATAAATGCGATCTATGGAAAGTTGGGCGAGAGGAGCAAAACAAAGAAGTCCTTGGCCAGGACACGCCCAGTAAAATGCCGTCATGCATATCTATATGTAGCTGCTATTTAGTTCGTTAGGCGTCAGAGGACAACATAATTTCGTAATTAATTTGCCAAAACACGAATGTAATTTAATAAAATTGCGCATACGCCGCGTTGGTCGGGCAAAAGAGCTATTTGAGCTACCCGTTCATTGTAGCGCAGCAGCATCTTCATTTCCTCGGAAAACATTTAAGTAATTTATGCAGGGCCTTAGACAATTTGCGGTGTTGCTGAGCACACGCTGCCGCCCCCAAACTGCTGTGCATGCCCGCCCGTCCTCCATCCTATTTTGCTTTGGCCCTGGTCTGTGTATATTCAGGCAAAAGTAAGCGACGATTATTTATGGTCTATTTTTGAGCATGCCACTAATTATGCTGGCATTTGAGCCAGCGTCCCTGACAACGCTTCCAATTACTTGACGGAAATAAATCAGTTGCGCCAAATGGCGTGGGCCACAAATCCAATGCCAAATCAGCCAGTGTCGGTTCCGCGAATCGGAGCTGCCGCAGTATCGATTACGCTCAAGGCTGAAATGCAAAATTATTTTTAAATGTCCGGTTAGGAAATTATTATTAAGCCGTTGCCTTTAAATGGGCTACGAACTTACGGCTGATTTGAATACAAATTATGTTGGGCTTTGAAGTTGTCTCTAAGCATTTCACTATGTGATTTTCAGCAAGTTCAGGCAAGATCTCAAGGCTTTCAAAAGTTGTTTTGGCGTAATTAAGATGCTGTTCTTTCATTCACCATCTTTTACTTTAACCCGCACACCCTTTTGCGTCTATTGAGTAGTTTGTCTCTCTTTCTCCAGATCTTAATTTAACTCACAATCTCTTTCTCTTGTTATTTCAGTGAAAGTTGTTCTAATATAGCTTATTTGCCTGCTGCTTATAGATGAGACTTAAATAATCATTCTGTTGTATATCTTATTGCGGGTAAGTACATATTTACATATATTGTCTGTGATTATAGGAATGCATTTCAAAGCAATTCTCATATCTTTTTCCATCATACACACATACACTTTCATCCAGTTTAGGCAATAAAAAGTGGTCTTTGCCATTTGCAATGCCTTGTAAACTTTTCCTAAATCTCAATAGCTGCCACGCCTTGTTGGCTTTACGCTGCCCGCCCGCCGGCGGTTAAATCAATTGCCGCAATTTGATAATATTTCAGCAGGGAATTATTATGACTGGGCCGCAATCCCAACTGGCCACCCCCAACTCTAAATGGGACCCCCCTAGAACGCCGTTGCGTTGGCCGCTTCACGGCCCATATGGCGCTTCTCGTTGTGTCCTTGGCAGCCACGTAAAAAGGATTTGGGGCAACGCATTTCGCATGCCTAAATGCCAAAAGACGTCGCATAAACATGGCAAGCCACGCCTCCCGCAGCGCCCCCAATAACGTCTTTGAATTACATTCCAGCTACAGAGAGCTGCAAAAAAATGTATATATATATAAATATAGAAGAAAACCGCGCAGGACAGCAAAAAAAAAATATAATTTTTTTGTTTATTTTTTTGTTTGCCGCTTTGCCGGTTTTCCTCTGCGGTTTTCTTTTTCGCTTCGGGTTGTGTGCGCATTTGGCGGTTTTTATGAAAAATTACCATGTTTTCTTCGCACTCATTCGCAGCTCCCTACCCCTTAACCCACACAGCCCCAGCTCTAGGCCCCGTCACTGGGCAAAGCATTTCTTCTTCTGCTTCTTACAATTTTTTTTTTTTTTTTGACTGCTTGGCAATTTCGGCATTTGACTTTTTTACGTCAGGCACTTGAGACGAGTCGCTGGATGGTGGAAGGTAGAAGAAGCGGGGCATGGGGTGTCTGTGCAGGCTGGGGTGGCAGTCAACCAGTGCGCCACACACTGCCTCTAATGATGCCACTTATGTCGTGACGAAATAATTTATATATACATATTTTTATGAATACCCTGTAAACGGGAATAGTGCAGACGAAAGATTCGGTTAGATTCCTTGTAAAAATCAATTTGTGTATATGAAAATATATGACAAGGAAAAATCAAGTGAAAAATTATTTTAAATGTCAAATTGATAAACCTTTGTTTTAACGGCAGAGTCTATTTTCATTAGAATGCAACGCGTTTTACATAAATTTCCACCCTTCTAAGTCAAAGTCCTTAAGGCACCTTTTTGTTGCTAAACTTAACTTAACTTAACTTAGCTAAACTTAAGAACTGGGCTGAACATTTTTAAATAGCTTAACATTTAAATCTTTTTTATTCTTAGCTCATCTATATTTTCTACAGGGTATACCGAAGTCGTCTACATCTTGATATCAAAATAGTATTGTATTTTTTTCTTTGCGTTGCTTTTGTTGCTTTTATTTTTTGTGTAAATTTCGGCCGCTTTGGCTACCAATCCACGCCTTCTCATTGCGCACTTATATTTAGGCACATTCTCATTTTGATTTTTCTTCTTTTTTGGTTGCGTGCAAAAAATTGGAGACTGCTAATTGGCAGCACATAATTTACGTGCTTATGCCAATTTTCATTTCCCTTTTCAATTTCTGAGCTATTTTTATCGTGATTCTTGTGGCAAAAAGCGCGCGCGCTCTCTCTCTCTCTCTCTAGACTTTAAATATAAGCGAAATGCTCGATCTGGAGCGCACCGCTCGGAGCTGCCATGTGTGAAGCAGCAAATGCAATTACGTGTATGGACTGCAGCACCACTCGATGGCCAGCAGGCACTTACAGATTTGATTAACTGCTTCCGTGCGTCATCGAGTTGGGTTTTGTACCTAGAAGGTGCCCAGAGGTGACACGGCAACAGTCTGGCCGGGTTAGAGCATAGGTTGGGCAAAGGTTTGCTCCTGGGAGGGGGACAAACTACGGCAACTACTCAATAAAACTCATTAGTGGCGTTTTGTCCAGGGCGCTGCTGCTGAGGCTCCTGCTGCTTCTGCCGCACTCCATAGCCTGGCTGGCAATTATCACCGGCATGGTCCCCATTGACTTTGGCAATTGATTGCAGCCGTTGTCGCCGCGGGTCGAGTGCTGCCAGCGACAGCATCAGAAGTGCCGATTAAAATTTATAGCAAACTGATTTGAAAGTCAATTATCCTGTGCCACCAAGGAGGAGCTAGTCAACTATTTATTCGGCGCAGACGACGCTCAACGGCGTGCAAATGGGTTTTCCATGCAAACTACGCCGGCGTCCTTCTGAGCATCCTACTGAACATCCTGCTACCTACCTTTTTTATGTTTTTAGGTATTTACGTTTAGTTTTTGCCCTCAGTTCTAGGCGGACTGAAAGTTACACGAGCTGCCGCCACGCAAAAACTGTAGCCAGTTTCCCTCCTTCTCATCTTGCAGCTCTACTCCAGCGGCTCACCAAGTGCCGTGCTGCTAATGAAGACAGTTCTTCATTTGTCTCGATCGTTGGTTGCAGTCATTAAAGGTGTTTTCTCCAGGTGCCTTCTCCTTAACATTTCTGCTATTTACTGCATCTCACCCTTGGCTTTGCCTAATGTTTATTAAGTTTTTCCTTTTCTTTTTTTTTGCGTCTGGCCATGTCGAGTGTTGTCTAGTGTGCTGCCCTCATCCCGCGCTGAACTAATGCCGCCTCGTGTCTCTGCATCTGTGTGCAGTTAATGAGTTTAATGGCGGACATCAAATTTGAATTGCTAATGCAGAGCCGCTCATGAAAACGGAAATGGAAATACGAATGGAAAAGCAATAGACGCATAGGAGGGCTTTTGGGGACGGCCACTCCAAGTACTTATGACTTTTGTCATGTTGTCTGCGAAAATGTTTTTTTCTCATTTAAAGAGGAAATTAACAGCACATGAAAATGGTGCACACTAATTGCAGTTGGGTGCAGCGGGGAAATTGTCTAAACATATGCTTTATTTACCAGGTTTTTCTTTTTTGAGCTTGCAATAAAATAGGAAAAAGCTCTTAAAGTAAACAAAGATTGGATACCCTTTCAGACAATACCAATTATTGTAAAATAATATTTTTTGCTCATTGACCTTTGTTGACAATTCAATAAACAACTAGGCTCAAAATATAAACAATAAAATGTGTGCAACTTGTCAGTATAGTTATCCCAAAATGCCTTTATCGAGAGGCTTTGCTTTGTTAGGAATTATAAGAAAACAAATGAAGGCCGCTCAGCCCGCAAGAACTCATCTATAACTATTTTGTTTGTTCAAAGATGACAAACTTATAATACTCTTCAAAATGGCATTTATACCTATGTATATAGACAATATATACATATATACTTAGTATATGCGTACCATAAGATATTAGGATTGGGCTTAATGCAGCCCTTTGATAAGCTAGTGAACAAATAAAGGCCTTTGAGCTTTTTATACGTACCATAACCAAAGGTTTTATGATTTGTACAACTAATGTTTATATACTGGTACCAAAAACTGGGTTTAATGTAGCCAATTGAAAAAATTATCTAGTTTGAACTTGTTTCAGATTAAGATATTTACATACTCTGACTATGTCATTAGCTACAATTTTGTTGACCCAAAACTGAATGCCCTAAAGCAATTTCGTTTAGCCTTGATGAGATTTGATCTTATCTAAAGCGCGAACTGCCCATTTGCCAAGCGCCCTCCATAGACTCCAATGATATAGCCACACACCATTGTTGGAGCCAGCTCTGTTGCTAACCTTATGTGACCACACACATATGTTGTTGTTGTGGTTGTGGCTAATGGCGGACTGTGGCCAAGTATTGCAGGTAATTTTTGCGATACGCATCTCACAATTGTTGTTAGTTCGTGGACTGGCGAAATGTATCTGTGTTGATAGTCTCAGGCTGTGTGCGGGCTAAATAATTTAAATTAAATTTGAAGTAATGTTATTGTTAGCATTACTGTTAATGTTATTGTTATTGTTATTGTTATCTTTTTATTTTATTTTTGTTGTGTGCGCAAACAACAACAAGGCCAAAGAACTTTGGTTTATTGTTTTTCCATTTGCTGTCATTGGACGTGGCCATCTTAGCGTCTGTCGCCAAGTGGCCTGGGGCGTCTTTGCTCTTGCCCTTGGGCTGCTTTTGCGTTTTGCTCTTTTTCTTACCGAGCAGCTCCTGCTCCCCCATCTGCCCATCATCGTTGATGGTAATTTATGCGCTTGATTTATGATCTGTTGCATAGTTTTAGGCGCAATCATCAAGGCGTCTGAAGCGTATTTTTAAACGTTCGCGGCAAATGTTAGCATTGTTGTTGCAGTCTTTGGGGCATCATAAAATTAAATTAAATACACAAATTATTTTCATTTTAATTTTCATTAAATTTTTATGGGCCCGCACATTGTTGTTGCTTCGTTGTTGTTATCTCTGTGGGCCTGTGTCTCGTTTTCGTTTTTTTTTTTTTTGCCTGTTATTTTGTTTTTTTTTCGTGTCGCCGCAATTACGACAAACAAATAAAAAGCAACAGCAACAGCAATAATAATGTCACAGGTAAAATGGCTGCGCGACAACACAAAATTTATGGGTCCATTGCTTGGAACTTGCACGGGGACCAAAAAAATAAAAAAGAAAAAACGTACCCAGCGCAAATATTTAACGATTTGTGTAATTTTCATGTTGCTACAAATAGTCAACATATGTTTTAAATACACCAACAGCATATAACAATAACAATTTAATGGGCTTAAACGAATTAATCCACACACACACACACACACCGGCATGCACACACACAAATGATGTGCTCCCAAATCTCGAGCTGCATTTCAAGCTGCAATTCAATGTTTTATATATTTATATGCAATTGTTTCTGCTTAATTAAGCCAACTATCCGGCGCATTGCCCATGTCCATGTTTATGTCCATGTCGGTTGTCCGTAGCCATTGCCATTTGCCCAGTGAACATGTGTTGGCCATAATCGGCTCACCCAATGCCCACAGACACAGGCGTAGTAGGCCTTCGATTGGTTTCTGTGCACCATGGCC